GGTGTAACTGGCTGCTCTTCACTACTGTACGTTTCCCCTTCTGTTTACCTCGCGTGTCTGAATTTACAGTTTTTCATTTTGCAAAATCATCATGCAGAGCTCGGGTGCATCCCTGCTCCTGTTTCCCACCTGCAGACAGTCTTTACACTGCCGCCTGCCTTTGGTAGCTTTTTGGCAGAACTGTGACGTTCAGCAGTCGCCTCAGTGTTCTCTCACACAACAAAACTACACGCTAACCACATGCTAACCACATGCTGACTGTACTCCAAACATGCTAAACGTCGCTAATCTTTCACATCTCAAAACTCTCTTTTTATCTCGCTCTCTCTCTCTCTCGCCGTCGTACTCCAAAAACTCCTCCCTCTTCCTAAACGACCTAATGTCACGTGTTGCTATATCATTTTTTAATTGGTCAACATGGTACATTTTTCCACCAATAGGAAAGGGTCGCAGGAGCGCGTTCCTTAGAAAACACCCGTTTTGTCTGCAGTTCGTGGCGGCTTTGAAGATGATGCTGCTGCGTCGGCCATGTTTGTCGGGTCATCCGTTGTTTTAAATCGGCTGCTAGTCAATCGATGAGCCGAGCGTTCACAGCCGCTCGCTGCTGTCAGCGACTCTGACTTTAAAACAGGAAGCAGGTGCATGCGCTAACTGGGCAGAGGCAACAGCAAATGTTTCCAGATGTTAGCAAAGACTTGCTGTGGAGAAAGCTGTGGATGTCCTGAGTAGGGGTGGGTTTTTATAATCGATTCATTAAAATCCTGAATCGATTTTTTAATATAAATTTATTTTGCCCGAAACGCCAGAACCTCAGGTGAAACCTCACAAAATTTCAACAACCACCAAACAGCTAAAACAGTGAATGAGAGCAGGAACAGGCACGGAGACGTGAACACACAGCGCGGAGCCGCGGATCAGAGTCAGCGAGATGTGACTTTCTCACCGACGGCACGGACACGGTCGGGGCTGAAAGCCGACAGCTCGCTGATGCTGATGTTTCAGCGGGTCGGCGCTTTGTGTTCACGCCCTTTTTGCGCCGATTCTAAAGCTGTTAGTTTATCTCTCTCCAAACAACACTGACCGAACCAGGATAAAATCTCACTTCATGCACAGCTCTCTCTCTGTTTCCTGCATTATTCGCTTGCTTGTTACGCACCAGTCTACCGTTGTTTACAGGCTGTCGGTTGCTGTTTTTTTTTTCGTTTACTTACTTCTGAAAAGAAAACCTAATTTCTGCTGTTCAACATTGAACAAATTTAAACTTTCTAAAATTATGCAAAATGCATAATTTTATTCTATTTTAATTTTATTATAATTTTATTTTAATTTTATTCAGCCCACTAGTCTCTAATAAACCCGCTGTAACTTCAGAGGTGATGTTCATAAGTTGATTCATGGTTTTCTTTCGTTTTTGATCGTCTGCAGAACATTTTTATAAAATCCAGAACAGGAAAATCTCCTTCATGTGTTTCTGTGTTTTATCTTCAGCTACTTTGACACAAAGGCCTCTGCTGTGACGCTCACACCTGTGATAAAGTCCTGCGTGTGTCAGCTTCCTTTTTATAGATACAAAAATATGTAAATGTGCTGATCTGAATTATAATATTTCTGACTGTCAAAATTTCCCAGATTCAAATCGAATTTAATCGAGTCGATTCTAGAAATCAGTGACGACACCCAGCCCTAGTCCTGAGTGTGCTGAGGACACCTGACTCAGGTAAGATTGAACGAGGCAGAGGAAGAAGAAGAAGAGCCGAGGGTTTCTTACCAGGAGAGAGCGACACGTGAGGTCACAGACGTGACAGTGGAGTCCGCCCGTCTGTCTCTCGGCCGTCCTGTCCGTCTGTCCAAACTCTCGGCTCTCGCTGCTCTGCTGGATGGTGACCTTCAGTGACCCCACGCCCTGCAGCTATAAACACATCACGGCAGGTTACCTGACAGTCAGGTGTGTCTCCGTTACTCTGTGGTTCTGACTGCAGATGGAGCGTGGCATGGTTCTTTACCTCGGCCGCTCTGCTGTCCTTGCTGTCCTCTGCTGCCCCCTGCTGGCCGGGAGGAGGAACATCTGGTGACACAAAGAGGGAAGCTTTATTAATCCGCAGCACAGGACTGAAAATCAGCCTGAAGGATGCCACGGAGACACACCTGCCGCTGGAGCACATGACCCGGGGACTCTGCTGGGCGGAGCAGCGTCGTCCTCCATCCTGTGAAAAACATCAAAAACACACCGAGTGAGTCGAGTTCCTCAGATGTCAGACAGTGGTGTCGTTTGTTCCTAGCAGACGACCTCCCAACCTTGCTCGCTTTGAATCCGATTCTTCTGATCCTCCCTCCAACCCCACGCCTCCAGGCTGGCTCGGCCCATCAGCACCCCTCTCTTCTTCTGTGGCGGTGGAGCTGCAGCGTGGCCAGCTCTCAGTACTTCCTGTTTCTGACGCCTGGACAAACACAAGGCATTAAACCAGCAGGAGCTGGGGCTGCAGCGGGGACGGGGAGGCAGAGTCTGTTTTGGGTACCTGCTGGGGTGGAGGCGGCCTCCTCTGAGCAGCACAGACAGGGAATCGAACCCTCGCCAATGCACTTCCTGCAGTGGGTATAAAACACCTGCAGGTGGAGACCAACATGTGAAGCAGCGTTTATCAGCAGCACCCACAATGCATTTCACCTTCTATAAGTTTATCACACATTCAAATTGACGACAGACGTCTGAACCGTCACGCCTGCTCTGAAAGACCTGACATGTGTGTCAGGTTCAAGTCAGAGAAACAACACCTGACACAGGTAACTCACCTGTCTGTCCTCTGTGGCTGTTTGACCATGATGAAGGCGTGCTGACCTCTGACCTCTCAGCAGCTGTACCTGCAAAGATGAAGTTTCTCCTCTGACATCCGTCATATATGAATGTAAAGCAGTTTTCTTACAGATTCATAACGTGTCTGAATGATTTTAATATGAATTCTGGGAATCAGCCGATAAACAAACCAGCTTTAAATCAGCACATTAAACAGAAATCTGGCACTAAATCAAACCGCAGTTCCAGGACAAGCAGAGGGAGGAGACTTTTGTCATTTCCAAGTCTTTAACATTACAGGCTTCACTTCTGTCACGGAGCTCATTACAAACCTCGAAGCGTAAAGCCGCGGAGAATCAGGTCTGCTATTTAGTGTGTAAGCCGAATTAAAACCGGGCTTTTAGAGACTCGTAATATGTCTTTATAAATTTCTTATCTGAAACTTTACTCAATCAGCAACGAAACAAACAATAAATTAGCACATTTTCAACAGAGACATCCCACTACTAGCTATTAGGCTAAGGCTAACAAGCTAAACTAACGTCTCCAAACAAACACAATCTGACTTTAAACTTTTTCCTCTATCGTCCTGTTTGAAGACACGAACTAGTTTAATAATCAGAGTTTACACGTTTAAATTGAACTCCAGGTTACTTTAGCTCACCTTAATGTTCAGCAGATGCTAAAGCTAGCTCAGTTACAAGTAAACACATACTGACGATGATACTTGTGTCTTCTGTCGCCCCCTGCCGGCGCGGAGGAAGACATGCGGCCAGCTGAGGAACTACAGGGTTCAGATCCTGGGCCATCTGACCTCAGGAATTCGCATGATAAGGTGGGGCCAGGTTTCACAATGAACTCACCCGAAACTCTGGCTGATTGGGACCCACACCCAGTTTCACACCTTGGCTCAGGCGATTAGAGGATCATCAGGGGGTCCTTTTGTCCCTCTGTGGGGGGAACTCCCACTAGGTTTATATCTGGGACTCTCCACCATTTGACCTTAGAACTGAAGAAGCTTCTCGGATGAGAGGTGAAACGTCTTCAAGCAACTTAAAGAAGTCCAGACGCTTTTCTTTGCAGCTCCTTTGACTACGATGACCTGGATGACTGAGAACCTTCACAGACATACAGGGTTCAGAGGTACACGGAATCATCTGTGCACGTTTATATTTGTGCTGTTTTCTGCTACAGTCGGCTTTTCAGAATTCTTTTTTCTGTTTCCGTTTCTTCCCAGTAACCAAAAAACATTTCAGAAATAACAGATGGGCTGCAGATTTATCCAATAAATTCAGCTAACAGCAAGAAACAGGAAGTAAACTGCATAAAGAGCAAAAATGCAGTTTGTGTTTTAGTTATTGTCTAATTTTTAATTTATTGTAAATATTGTGCATAATAAAAATAAATTTAATTAATAAAAAGTGAAATGTTTTTTTATAGCTTTTGTGTATTTTACAACAGTTTTGGATTACATTGGTGATCAATGTGCATCACCCCTAAAATAAAACAAAATAGAATCTGTGCCTAGGCTGCGTATATTTGCATGTAGCAGTGAGTAGAACAATAAATGAAGTAGAGTGTTCTTTCTTCAGCTGTGTTTCGTGGCCTCTGATTGGCTGGTCTGGAAGTCTGGTAGTTATTTGCAGCTTGTGGTAAATCTGCTGGAATTTCCTGGAGACGAGCCGCAGTGTGTCGCAGACAGGAAGCACTTCCTGAGATGATCTCTCAGAGATTTATGGCGGAATAAAAGCATCTGTGAGTGTGAACGGTAATGTTTCTGACAGAGAGCAGCAGTCGTTATATTTCATCTTTCTGCTGTGTCACGTTGGGCTCAGCAGCTGTAACGTCTCACAGTAATCATCCCAGCGCTGACGGATGTACAGCTGAGGTTCTGATCCTGGACAAATGCAAGACTCCTGGAGGTCGTGCCTCCCTGTCGTCATTATTTTGATATGAGTGACGTGATGATGGTAAATGGTAAATGGCCTGTATTTATATAGCGCTTTACTAGTCCCTAAGGACCCCAAAGCGCTTTACACATCCAGTCACACACACATTCACACACTGGTGATGGCAGCTACATTGTAGCCACAGCCACCCTGGGGCAGCACTGACAGAGGCGAGGCTGCCGGACACTGGCGCCACCGGGCCCTCTGACCACCACCAGTAGGCAACGGGTGAAGTGTCTTGCCCAAGGACACAACGACCGAGACTGTCCAAGCCGGGGCTCGAACCGGCAACCTTCCGATTACAAGGTGAACTCCCAACTCTTGAGCCACGATCGCCCCCACGATGATGCCAATAAGCAAAGCAGCTGATGTCTTTATAGCTGCACACACACACACACGGTGGTTTTCATATGTTAGTGGGGACATCTAACTGACATAATGCCTACCCTAGCTGCTTACTCTAACCATAACCTAACTGTAACCCTGACACTAAAACCACGTTTCAAAAACAAAGTGCTGAGCTTTTTAAACGTGTTGTGTTGGGCTCGGGCTGCAGGACCTCCTGAAACAGGCCGGACTGAACCAGATTTAGATTCTTGGAAGTCGGAGTTCCTCTGAGACGGCAGCTGGAATGAAATCCTCTCCATGCATCTGTCTGACATTCACAGGAAACTGAAGCAACATGTGGTGAAACTATCAGCCAGAAGCAAAGCCAGGCCGTGCTCCAGCTGCTCTGAAGCCTCCATGTTCCATTCAGGCTCCTCAGCACCGTTAGCCTTCAGGGCTGAAACATGAAGCACCAAAGCCTGCAGTTCCTCTAGCATCCAGCAGAGGCAGTAGTGAGTCAGTCCACACCAGTGACTGTAGAAAACATGGGTTGTATCCCAATTCAGGGTCTGCAGCCTTAAAGGCCGCATTTTAAGGCCGATTACGGCATTAATTAGTTAGATGCCTTTAACTAATAGCCTGCTAGCTAGCTTCTAACCAAGCTAGCTAGCAGGAGTTGATAACTCCCTCTCTTGCCCAAATAAATTCATTTGAGGTTGCAAGAACCCAAAATGGTACTAGTCCAAACTGAAATGCCCCTTTTTAGAGTTAACTGGGCAAGCACTGCCCGCCCTGCTTGCCCAGACATGCACTGGAAGGAGGAAAAACTGTCTATAACCTCAGTGCTATGAGTGAAAATGTGAAGGTCTGTTAGAGGCCAGAGGTCAGTTTGTAAACCTTTATTCATAATTTTAAAAAAAAGTTTCACACAACAGATCTGACAGGAGACGCAGGCTCGAACGCCCAGCACGCCAAGTGTCCATGTCACTGCCCCGTGTGATGTCAGAGTAATGTTCGCATACACAGAGAAGAAGAAAATCAGAGACGCCTGTACAGAGGAGGTGACATCATGAAGCTCAGTAGATGTCCTGGTCATAGTCTGCGATGTCCATCGGCTGCTTCCTGTCACTGTTAGCCAGGTAGGACGACAGCTCCTCTGACAGAGCCACAGACAGGTGGAGACAGAGACACGTCAGTGAGACAGACCCGAGTCTTTTAGTTTCTGTTTCTCCCATTTCAAACGCCTGTCTCACCTGCTCCCAGCACTCCCAGTACAGCCGAGGCCGAGGCCGTCCCCAGGTTGTTACGAGCTGTGCAGCGATAGGTCCCAGAGTCCCCCGTCTCCGCCCCCTCAATCTGCAGCCAGCTGGAGAGCTCGAACTTCAGAGGACCGCCTCGAGACTGCGAGAGAGACAATCAGACAGGTACTGAAATCTGTCCCAGAGGGGCGGGGCTGCAGGCTCAGGCGCACGTGTACCTGGACGGAAATGTGTGGGTCGTCTCCGGGCAGGACGACATCTCGTCCCTCCTTCGTCCACTCAACCAACGCCATCGGAAACGCAAACACTTCACAGAGAAAGATGAGACTGCTGCCCGTCCCGTTCACCTGACTGTGAGGAGGCACCTTAATGACCGGCACTGCCACAGGTGAGAGAGAGGTTAGGCTGGGCGGAGCAGAAATCTCAGACTGTGTGTGTCAGTCATTACATGTGAGGAGCGATCAGCTGACTGATGACCTCAGAGAGCTCACATACAGAGATGAGATGACCTCTGACCTGCAGTTTTACTCTGTGCTGATTTCAGGTGTGTGTGCTCGTGTTTTTGGGCCCTCTGGGGTCCCGTAGGCCCTCAGTGTGAGGCGACCGTTTCCTGGATGAAACGTGAGTTCGCCCCTTTGCTCGATATCTGACGTCTGCTCTTCGTTTCCATTTTTAACTGAAGCCGTGCACGCCTGACCTCTGAACTCTAATGCAGATAAAATGGCGCTCAGCTTGTGGAGCTCAACACATCAAAACAGCTAAACCAGCTCTGCCTGGGCTCCTCCTCTTTACTCCGAGGGCTAAACCACAGAGACGGGGTGAACTGAGGAACTCATCATCATCATCAATAGAGCAAGCGCAATCATATAAATATTTCAGGACCATGATCAATGAAAACTGAACTGCGATGAGAATTGCAAATCAGTCTGCAGAAAGGGTCACAGCGCATTTACTGCCTCAGAAAACCTGCTCATTTCCACACTGACCGAACTATTTGAACTTTGTTGCGTGGTTCGGTCACACCTCTGTCACAGAGCAAACTCACTGGTGGTCTGACAGGTGAGTCACAGCCCTGTTTACCTGCCTGTACTCTAAACAGGTACAGACGATGCTTTATCACTTCTTAATAATGGCTCCATCCTCTACGGGGTGAATTTCAGCTTCTTGCCTCAGAATATGTGTGTGTCCGGTTTAAATATGTGTGCTGTTTTGTGAAAGGAAGCCAAACGATGTCATTCCTCTATAAAGCAAATTTACCTGCAGGTAAAAGTAAAGGAATCATCACCATTATCATCACATGTGAGCTCTCCCAACATATGTACCTTTAAAAATATGAATGAATGAGGTGAGCAGTGGAACAGCAGGTGGTTACCTGCCCTGCGGCTCCCATCTGTCCTGCCTCAGGTGTTCCTACCTGTCCTGCAGGGGCCCCTCCCCGCGGTGTGGAGCTCGGGTGTGGAGAAGACGGCCTCCCTCAGCTGACACATGTTCATGTATGTTCTCCCGTCAGAGCCGCACACCGGCTCCTGCTCCTCACACACGCACTCCTCCTCTTCATCCTCTCCTCCTCCTCCCGCCTCACACCGCAGTCCGCTCCCACACAGCCCGTAGAACACGCTCCGGTTCCCGGGGTCGCAGGGCTGGCCCTCTAGGTTCCCGCACTCCAGGCAGCAGCCGCAGGAGTCCGGCACCAGCCCGGCCCGGCAGCCGCCGGGCAGCGAGCACCGGTCCGGCTGGCACGGCCCGCAGAGCCCCGGCGGCGCTCTGCACGGGCGGAGGCTCAGCCAGAGACAGAGCAGCACCAGAGTCCGCATCTTCATCCGCCGGTACCGGCGGGACTCTGACCGGGAACAGAGACACAACAGAGCCCGGGCTCACACCGGCATCCCCCGCGTCAGACACCGACAGCCTCCGGTCAGAGTCTCGGTAGAGTCTCTGGTTCAGTCCCGGTAGTGTCGTTCAGCGTCCCGGGCTGCTGACGGGCTTTCTGTCTGTGGCAGGTTTGAACAGCTGAGCTGCTCGCGCTGCTTCACTGTACACACGCGCCAGACGCCGCTGTCACGTGTGTCACAATGGACACAAACAACAGACAGGTTCCGGTTTGACCTTTCAAAGTAAAACATCGTTACAGAGAGAACAGCAGCTCAGACTCTTCATATTCAGGCCACTAAATTTGGGATTTGGCACCAAGAAAAATCTATTTAACACTAGATTTACTAACCCTGCGCAAATTTGTGTAGATTCCCTGAACCCAACACCCCCTAGAATTACTGACTTTTTTTATTTTCTGGTGCAAGTCCTGAGGTGTTAATCACCCCTGCTGAGATTCTCCTCCTGCTTTTGTTGAGCAAACCACCCATTGCACATTTGCATTTGTTCACTCAGAGTAGCTCAGATCCAAGGCAGGCCAACCCTCTGTGTTACAACCTTCAGAAATGCCTGCCTATACAAAATATCCCACACACTGACTGACCTGCAAATATGAAAGACACAACCCTAACCCTAACGCAAGTCTGTTTTATTTATAAAAAATGTGTGAAAACAGAATGCATAGTTGCTAATACAATGACATGAGTGACGTGTGTGAACTCGTCAGCTTTGCATGTTCTCTCCTCGCAGCAGGTTTACCTGTGCAACATGTCAGAAATCCGCCTGTGCCAAATGCAGGGATGATGCCTTGGATCTGAGCTACTCTGAGTAAACAAATGCAAATGTTGCACACACACACACACACACACACACACACACAAACGCTGCAAATCTGTCTTTGGCTACGTCCACACTAGCCCGGATAGATTTGAAAACAGCATTTTTGTTTTCAGTTGTTTTCACACAGTTGTGCGTCCACATTGAAACGGCCAAAAACGCTTACGTTCCAGTCCTGCGCATGCGTGGAAGCGAGTAAGAATTAAAGAATTTGAAGAAAAGCTATCAGGAGCTGTCAACCGCTGTATAACGCCCTCCGCTATCTTTGTTTATTTGGTCACATGACTGCATCACATGACTAAAATGTGTCATTGTTTTAGAAAGTCTGCGTTTTCGAGTGTCCACACTGCGACGGGGCAGCTCCGTTTTGAAATGTATGCGTTTTCAAAACGCTGCATTTTTCCTTGGGGAAAACGCCGTCTCAGTGTGGACGGGGATGGGTTTTCAAACGGAAACACATTAGTGTGGACGTAGCCTGAATCTCTCCTGGTTGGGGGTTGGGGGAGGGTGTGTTTACACAACAAAAGCAGGAGAACAATTTAGCTGAAGGACTGTGCAAATCTCAGCGGGGTGGTAGGAGGTGTTAGGTTCAGGGAATTTACGCAAATTTGCACAGGGTTAGTAAATGTAGTGTTAAACTAAAATCCAGCACTCTGAGCTCAGAGCAGGGATCTGAGGCTCCACCCACTCATGCCCACTCATCACCACCCTGCAGTTCCTCTGACGTCCAGCAGAGGCAGCAGTGAGTGAGTTCCATGTTAAAACTTTAAAGCAGAAATAAACATGTTTACAGCCGGATACACACTGTTGGGTCTCTAAGATCATTTTAAAGCTTCCATTATTAGGGGGCGTGGCCTCTTTGACTGACAGGTGGATGGTGACACAGGTGGCTGTAGCTGCTCGCTTCACCTAAGCTGGACCTCTGGACTGTGTTTATGCTTCTGGAGCATCTTTACTGACATCATGTGACCAATAACATGGCTGCCATGAGGACACTGTCTGAGGAGGCTATACCAGAGTTTTAATCAGTCTGTGTGATGCTCCTGTACAGAAAGGGTCACCTTTGGATTCACCTGAGATTTTGAGCTTCACAAACCTGAGGTTTCTGTACAAGATAAGATAGAAGATAGAACTTTATTAATCCCTCGGGTGGGTTCCTCTGGGAAATTCGGTACAAGTAAAAAGCTGCCTTTGGTCTGATCACGTGGAAAAAATTTGAATGCATGTGTAACTGAAAAATCTCCAAAATGAAATGACAACAAAATGAAAACTTCATACCTGACCTGCACTTCCTCAGAGCAGGTAAGGTTCAGTCTGCAAGAATGAACACGTTCCAACTTTTATTCTGAAAGTCCAGTACTCTGACTTCCTGTCTCGGTGTCTGACCTGACAGTCTCTGAGCAGCTGAGCAGCCTGCCGGCTTCCCCCACAAACAGCAAAAACGAAGGCAGCTGTTAAACTCATCCTGAGGCTGAAGCTGGGCTTTACAGAGTGGAGGCTCCCAGGGTCCTCCAGGAGGTTCAGGAGAACCCCGGGACCTGCTGGGGCCTCAGAGGTCGCAGTGGGGGTGAATGTGATTCAGGTGTCATTCAGCAGCAGTTCCTGAGTAAACGTGTTGGTTTGTCTCCTCAGCAGCACCAAAGCGACTCAGGAAAAAAAGCAGCGGCGGTGGTGCAGGTTTTGGGCGTGGCGCCCTGCTGGCTGACAGGAATAGAACCGTAATGGAGGGTTTAAAATGACGTGTCTGCAGGCTTTTTTTACACTCTCGTGCTCTCGCACTGTGCCTGTGTCCCAATTCAGGGTCTGCACGCTTGAAGTACGCGTACTACGTACGGTGCGTACTATGAGTACGAGAAGTGTGGAAGTGAGAGGCTTGTGAAACGGGACGGTCTAGCCTTCGTCCCGCTGTTCAGGTTGCCTAGCAACCATGATACTAACCGTGAGACACGTTGCATACAGCTTTGTTTGACAGAAATCAAGGAGAAAAATGTTTTGTTGGTCATTCATTTTTGTCATGACATCACTTTGATTAGTTGAGTATCTGAGGCTGAGACCACAGGACTGTAAACATGATTGTTGGGCTTCATTTCTGTGCTGAACAGTCATTTAAGATTAGTTGGTAATGTAAATATTGGTAATGTAAATATAATATGGCCAATATTATAGTATTGTCAGATTATTATGATATATATCTATATATATATATATCTATATATATATCTATACTATATATATCTATATTATATCTATATCTATATCTATCTCTATATCTATCTCATATTATATATCTATATCTATTATCTATATATATATATCTCTATACTATACTATATATATAATATATATATATATTATATAGATATATACTATATATATATATTATATATATATCATAATAATCTGATTGATATATATATTTGAAAACATTGTGGCCAACCGTAATGTTTTAATATTCTTTGTTATTAAACATTCGCACATAAATAAGTGACGTCATATTCAGTACTTACTTTTGACAGTTCACTCTTCGGACGCTCCCTTCTGCCGTATTTTGCGGCAAAATTATCCACACCCACCGCCGCGCTATGAATTGTGGGATATATGGGACCACGAAGCGTGCACCGCACCACGCTTGATATTTGGGGAAATCGACGGCGCATTTGGAGTATGCGTTTGAAGTACACTTCAAATTGGGACAGCCGTCGTCGCGTGGCGGTGACGTAACCGCACTTAAAACGCGTACTTCAAGCGTGCAAACCCTGAATTGGGACACAGCCAGAGTGTGTGTGAGTGTGTGAGCCTGGTCTTTACCTGAGCAGGTGTGCGTGTTTTACCTGCGGGACGTGATCAGTCCTGAAAACCAGCATGGAGGAGTTTTTACTTCTCTTCATGCAGCAGCTGCTAAAGCAAGTTTTTTAGCTCCTCCCTCATTCAGAGCAACGTTATTCTGATTGGCTGCCCATCCTGAACAGGAACTTTGAATCCCCCTTCTATGCAGTGCACAGTGATCTGACGACCTCATCATTACTAACGTTTTTAACATGAATGCCCGCCACAGAAACAGGAAGTACGCGCTAGCTTCAGATGCACATCAGTAAAAACACCGCTCATGAATGGGAGACGTATTTGGATCGCCCCCTGGTGGCTGCTACACCATTCATCATGTTCTATCGTGTAAAGGCCACGCCCCTTCATATGAACAGAAAAGGCGGTTTGCGAGATTCAGAGAAGGAACCTTTGACGTCAGCACGTTTAAGATTTTTTATTTTGATTGTTACATTTTTATTAAAACTGAAAACCGTCCCGAGCCGTCATCATCATCATCATCATCAACGACACAGTGCTGACTTGGCACAGCAGGACTGGACCAGACCGGTCAGAGGTCACGAGCCCATCTCCCCCCCTTCCTCCCCCGGGGGGGAGCAGAGGTGTGAGATGAACACACAGTGGTAGTTCCACAGCAGCAGCAGCACCATCAGCAGCAGGCCGCAGAGCAGCAGGGCCACCAGCAGGGGGAGACGGCGCGATGCTGACGGAGGGCAGGAGTCGCCGCAGCTGACGGGGAGAGGGAGAGGAGGAGGAGGGGAGGAGCAGCGATGGAGCCACAAACAGAGACGTTTGAGTCCCGATGGGTCAGACTGAGATGAGCTGACAGGTGACGGCATGGTCCTGGAGAGGTCAGAGGTCAGGTGGAGCTCAGCTGAGAATCAGAAACAGAAACATTGGTAAAAACCAGAAGCTCCGTAATGCTCCAACCTGAGGGGGGGGGCACTAAAGGTCACACAGTAGATCTGAGGGGAGGGGGGGGAGGGGGGGACAGGAAGCAGGTTACTCTGATCACATTTTAAAAAGTAAAAGCGTGCAGAGAGGCCCGGGCTCAGGTGTGCCCCTGACGCTCTGACCTCTCCGACTCGCTATCATGGCCGACAGTTACTCAAACACGAGCTCTTTAAATGTCAGCACACGTCTCAGCAGAGGAAGGCTCGGAGCTGCTGAGGTGTGACGAGCCCAGCGATACCTGCAGATGTTTCCAGATGTTTGTGAACGAAATTAAAGCGAACTGAGTGACACTGAACTTCTCACCGGCTGCTCGGAGAAACCAGCAGCCTCAGCAGGAAGTGCTGGACTGGGTCGCATCATGCACGGTCTCGCTCTGACCGTGTTCAGTGAGGTTTGGATCCGAGTTTATGTTCCCGTTGAAGAAGAGCCTGAAGTGACGGGAAAACAGGAAGGAGCCTTCAGGAACTCCACAAGAAGAACATCAAAATCCCTCAAAGAGGAAAATCTGGAAGCTCCACGGAGCATCGAGGGGGAGGAGGAATTCAGCCTCCTCGTCTTCCTCACTCCTCCGCTTCATTACAGGTTCCAGAAATAACACAGGGTTACCATGGCAACAGCCAAAGGGCTTCAGGGTTACTGTGACGACCACCGAGAGGAGAAGCAGGGGAAATACACTAACCTCCACCCCACGCTGCATCTGTCGCTTTTACTCCACATTCATTAAAACAGAACGCTCTGAAGCCCCGTCTGAGGCCCAAGGCCTGGTCCCTAACCAGTCCCTGTCTGAGGCCCAAGGCCTGGTCCCTAACCAGTCCCTGTCTGAGGCCCGGTCTGGTCTGAGTTTTCATGCACGGAGCTGCTGGTTTTTCCTGCACATACGAGGTTTCCAGCTGACTGAGCAGGCAGAGAAAGGCTCTGTAAACAGCTGAGGGTGAGCGTTCAGCTCAGAAACACTCACCTGTCTGCTCCTTTCCTTCTGCGTCTGCAGCGAAGACCAAACACCTGCAGCCTCTTCCTCTGTGTAACTGTGTAACATGGCCGGCTCAGCCAATCACAGCGGCCGGTCGGAGGTGGTCAGCTGAGTTTCAGTGCACTGACCGGCGGCATCACGCCGTGACCTTCAGACTGAGAGTCAACAATAAGACCGCGCACACTGAAAACAGCTGCAGAGCCTCGAGCTGCAGCCACACACAGAAACTGCCCCAGGAAATACCCCCCAACGCCTCCCCCCACGATGAAGAACACAGCTGCTGCCTTTCACTGCCCTCCAATCCCCTGTACGCTTCTTCATTACGACACAAACGTTGACCTGCAAGACTACAGTACCCACAATCCTCTGTGGCTCCAGCCTGCTGGTGCTTTGAGCTTTACTCTGTCCTGCACTTCCAGTGAAAGCTGTGCAGTGATGCAGAGCGGCATCATCGTCTCTGAGCAGGCTCAATAACCACTCACCTGTACGCCCCCCAGCCCCACCCCCCAACCCGCTGACCCCCCCTAAATACTTCTGAAACTATGCCAGTAAATAACAGATGACCCAAATACCAACAAACCCTCTCCTCAGCAGCCAATCACAGCAAAACTTTAGAGTACCGCCTCAAAACCAGCCTCATATCAAACCACAAAGCCCCTCCTAACACTCCCACTATAACCTGTCACGCTCCCCACCAATCACTCCCAACCCCTGCAATACAACCAAACTTTGAGCTTTGATTGGAGGGTTTACCTGTCGTTGCATGTGAACACTCAGACGTGTTTACACGAAGGTAAGACTCGGTGAGGACCGCACGCTGTGGCCAAAACTGCTCCGCTGGCCTGAGATCAGCTGACGAGCTTTGGGAAAATCTCACGTCCTGGGTTGTTTTGGCTCGGCCCCCAGAGAGCACGTCCGCTCACGTCCTCGGGAAACACCAGAGCAGCTCCCCTGTGCCCACGCCATAACGCTGCCTCCGCTGTGTTAGACGGATGCTCTGCTTTCCGCTCTTTTCTCGCCATCGTTAAACTTCCACCCAGCTTCACCTGTCAAACGTGTTTTCACACGTGTGCACTTTCGTTAGATGTGACAACGTTCGACCTTCCTGGGCGCACCCGGAGTTCGCAGCGTGCTGTTTCCATCCGTGACGGCATGTCCTGGCTGTCGACCTTCGGTGCTCCTGACTCGGCTCGATGTGGTGAATCATTCTGTCATCGTCTTTCATGACTTTATGTGTTTGTTCGTTTTAACAGTGAGCAGCTGGTTTGGACACTCCCAGTTTCTGCTCTCTGATTGGTTTATTCTGGTGGTTCAGCCTAATGAGGGCCTGCCTCTTGTCTCCTGGTCTAACGAGGGATCAGACTAGGAAGCCGCTCACCCAACTGTCTGCTTACTTCTGGCCGTGTTTAAGAACTGGTCACAGTGGAGACACGTGGTTTTCACAGGACCGCCACAAATGATGTCACAGGCAGAAAAACTCGGACGCGTTTCAAATAAATATTAGTTTATTACTGAAAGTGTCGTCGGCAGAGACGACGGGCAGGTTAAGCTCAGTTACACAAACACGGATTCAAAAGTGTTCACGTGATGACACGGCGCCGCTAAAATCTGAAACAAATCACACACCAAGCTCTACAGCAACACCCCACTTCCTGTCTGACACAGGAAGTGGATTAGAGTAAAATGTCTGCAGTGGAATCGCTGAAACTCGACTTGAGTCGAGCGGCTACATGTGTCAAAAAACAACCAAACACTAACAGGCTGGAGGTCAAAGGTCAACGGTGCACAGACAGAGGGAAACTTCTTCTACAGTTTCAGTTTTTATGATACAGGAAGTAAAATGTGAACACAAAAATAAAACTTCTTCTAGCGAGCCGCAGTCAATCAGCTTACAGGTGAGACCTTCATCATCATCATCATCATCATCATCTGTACAGTGTGTTTACATCAGAAACAAAGTAAACAGCAAAAATAAATACAGACTGTGACATCACAGCACGTCACGTGTCATGTGACACAGTTTAGGGTGAGCTGCACCAACACTCATCAACGTTTCTAAATTAGACTACCGATAAATACGTTTAAGAAGTCTTTTATTTTGAAAGTGCCAAACCACTTCAAAGTAAAAGACAGTTTCTTAAAAACAGCTGAGGAAAACTTTCAGATATTTTGTTCTTGACTTTCTTTTTTTTTTTTAACATGAACGTCTTCCTTTGTTTCCCGTGTTACCTGTTTCCTGTTCAGAGGGAGTTCTTCCTCCCCACAGTCAGTTTCAACAAATCAACATGAAGTGCCTCCATATTTCTGTGATGCCTGGATATTTAAACGGCGTCACATTGAAACCACTTTTGTTTTGCTTCTGGAGTTTACTCTCGTGTTCCTCAGTTTAAACAAAATAGGAGCGTGAATGAGTCTGCAGATCAGCGTTAGACTCCCATCACCAGGCTGAATCTGCAGATGTGCTCCAGCTGTGAAGCGATTGGTGCAACTCGCCTGGTGTGAAGCCGAGCGTCACCGAGAACGACGGCGTGAAGCCCAACTCGTCACAAACCTGATCAGACCTGCACAGGTCACGCCGGCACGAATACACGTCAGTGTGAGGAGAATCGGAAACGTGCAGCTCAACACTGAGAGAGGAACCTGACGCTCACATGACAACATCAACACTTTATCACATATCATTTTATTCAGCTTTCGTTTCTGGAACAAAGCAGTACTCTTATTGTGAAGTGCACAGGAAGGATCGTAAACTGTGCCAAAGTAAAAGTCATTATTAATAACGTGCCCTGCCTTATGAGGGCGTTTCTGAATGAAATGATTGAACTTTATTCCGTAAAAAGAACAAACACGTTTCTCACTGATGTGAGCGTTTGTGGATTTTCTAAATGTTTTAAAACATATTCAAAACTGTAAAAACCTTCATATAAAAACAACATCTGCCCGTACAGATGTGATGTGTTTGAGACACCGACATACAGACGTGTGTCTGATAAATATACATAAATACAAAGGTATTAATGTGTGTTAGTGCGTGAACGCGTCACACAGCACAGCCATGAATCTGTCACTGATCTGTGAACTGAGCTTGTAAATAAATTAAAACTATTATAACTTCGCTGTTAGTTTTTCATGGACTTTCTGGTTGACGTCTTGGTGCTGACAGACGGGTTGACCTCGCTCGGCCTGCAGGTCGATTCTCAGAGCGTGTTCTCGGTGACGCGCTTGGCCGGCTGCTGTTCTTAACACCAAAAACGTGGAAACCTCCTAACTCCAGCTGGCTCTGTGTGGAGTTAGCAGCTTTCCACGGGACATCAGGTTGGAGCTAAAGGGCTGTGGAGGTAGGCGGAGACTGACATCATCAGTGGGGACACAGTGGAGGAGGGGCAGTGACTACATCTCCCAGCATGCACTGGGACTGTCAGGGGCAGTGGGAGGAGCTTTTGGGGCAGAAAGCATCCCTTTTACGTGCACGAGGACATCTCTGTATTATGGGGACATTTTTCCTTTATGAAGAAAGTCAGGCACTGTGGGGACACTCTGCATTACGGAGACATGGTGACATTAATGCCAATAATAGACTGAAATGTCCCCATGTCCACTCACAGCTGCACAGTGCAGAAGCGGGTTTAAGGTTCAAATAAAGTGTTACCAAATTTTCCTGAACACAGAGAAACAAACTTTCTGGATCGCTGAACCAAAATGGCGGAGCTTCCTGCTAACAGGTCATGCGTCGCTGTGAAAGGACATCACCCAAAAACCTCAGTGGGATGACCCCACACTCTGGTTCGGTGATCCGGGCGACATCTGTGACTCTGTGTAAAGGAACCACCTCCTGTCCCAGAGGCTCCTCCCACCGGCCAAACTGTAATCAGTAATCGGGGACACAGGTGATCCTGGAGATCGATCCCAATTTAGGCTCATGGACTCAGATCAAGAAGAACGGCGTCGCCAGTTATGACCAGTTCCAAAACCAGTCATACTTTTGATAATTCAGTGCGATCAACAGAACAAACTGTACAACACCACAGACATCCACCCGAAGGAAACCAGTCCCAAACAGTTCTTTCAAAATAAAAGACCCTCTGGTGGGAGGAGGCAGACAGCTACAAGCAGAGGAAGGCAAGTGTGTGTTTGTACAGTGTGTGTGTGTTTGTACAGTGTGTGTGTTTGCTTTGTGTGGTGGGAGTTAGTGTGACAGATGGTGTGTGTGTTTGTAAAAATGTGTGTGTGCTGCTTAATGTTTGTAAATGCTTCTATTGATATTTTTGTGGGGTCCTGTGATTTAGGCAAATTTTGTGGGGACATTTCTGTATTATAAGGACCATTCTGCATTATGGGGACATTTCTACAGTGTGGGGACAATTCTGCATTATGGGGACATTTCGGTATTATAAGGACAATTCTACATTACGGGGACATTTCTACAGCGTGGGGACATTTTTGCATTATGGGGACATTTCTACAGCATGGGGACATTTCTACAGTGTGGGGACATTTCT